CGCCTCTGCCGCTCTCCCGCCCGTGGCGAGGGCTCAGCCCTGGCCTGCATGCAGGAGCCGCTCCGCTCAGAGCTCGGCGCTGCCTGCTCTGGAAGCGTTTGCTGGGCTGGGTCTTACGTTTCTGTGGTGTAGTCTGCTGGTTAGAGAGTAAGTGCCCTGCTTACCTTAGAAAATCAATTACACAAACGCATGAGATATGCATCTTGTGACATCTCCCATCAGTTACTGAGCGCAGTGAAAGAGTAATTCCTGTTAGTTTGGAGTTGTGGTTTTTTTTTTTTTTTTTTTTTTTCCCTCCTTACAGTTCCATGTAATATCTAAAACTAATGTATCCCAATCCATGTTTCACAATACTCTCATGTGGTCTTTTGCCTATGTAATCAGACTTGAACATGGATCCTGTAGCAACAGGACTAAAGACTTGCTGCCAGCATGGAGTTAGTTCTTGTAATGTTATATACTCCATATGACTCTACAGGCACAAAGTAATTTGGCTGTAATAAATGTTTACAGGCCTCCTTAATTCTTTTATTTTAATAACATCTGTGAGAGATGGGAGATAAAAATACTTCTTCCACTATAGGAAACTGCAATCACAGAAGAATCCATATTTCTTCTTTATTTTCAAGTCTTAAGGAAGAGAATTTTTCTTACTGTGGAAGACCTAATATAGAAGTCAAGTATGGCAGTTAGCTCTTGAACAGCTAGATATAGATATATAAGGAAGGTAAGAAGTGTTTCAGTTTTGCCTTGAAGCATCCTTTGAAGCTAGGAGTGCTTAATTTTTTAATGGAGAAAATAAGGTGTGGAGTGATAAAGTGATTTCACCATTGTTGCATGGCAAGTCTGAGCCAGAGGTAGAGTTACTCATGTAGTACTCTTAAACAGAAGAAATAAAAGTGGACTTACAATTTTGGTTTCTTTCTTAATTGTCCAGTTTGTCTTCATCATGAGGTGTAGACTGGGAAAATGCTGTTTGTAAACAAACAAAAAAGATTAAAAAAATTGTTTGTTTGTTTCATTTCTAGGTTAAAGTGAAAATACCCTTTGGAAACAAATATCTTGATGCTGTCTTTTCTATCCCAGAGAAGAAATCAACATATGGAGTGATTCTTACCCATGGAGCTGGAGGAGATATGAATTTCCCTCACTTAGTGTCTTTGGCAGCCTATCTTGCAGCCCATGGAGTTCTGTGCCTGCGGTTTACTTGTAAAGGCCTTAACATTGCTCACAGGGCTAAGGCCTTCAAAACAGTTGTGGTAAGAAGTGACCAAGTTTTGCCATAGCTTAGATCCGTGGGTGTTGTCTTCTGGGTTTCTTAAATTATAACCAGAGAATAATGAGGCAGTGGCTAGCTAATGAAGCACTACCTCTAGCAAGGAGCAGCAGGAACCAGTGTTCTGTGGGCAGTAGTTGGACAGATGCAGCCAGTATCTGGGTTTGAGTTGGGGGAGAGAAAGAAAAGCCTGGGAAGAGGATGTGAAGAAAGCCAGAGTGCTTTGTGGGAAACCTTACAGCTGGGAAAAATAGTATTTTGGATAGAAACAAGAGGTAGGTGTTCTGGGAGGGCTTGGTCAGGGCAGGGGGATCAAGGGAAACAGCTTTGGGAGTGGCTGTAAGAGGAAAGGAGCCAATCTGGGAATTGTGCTGCGTCTCTGAGGGTTGGTGGCTGGGAGAACAAGACTTTGAGGAAAGAGTAGGGGACTCTGGGTTGCAGGGGGAGGTGAAGCAGAAGAGATTGGGAGTAGCAGAATGAGAGCCCTACAACCTCAATAGTCTGATTTCAAAATTACTTCTGACTGTTAAATACACGTGCTTATCTCCTTCTCCTTCTGCTATGTTATGTAAGATATACAAGTAGATTTTGTTAAAATGAGCAACCTTTTGTTATAATAATGTCAACCTAGAGTATCTTGCTATTCTGGAGTGTGTAGGAAAGGGAAAATTTTCTTCCAATGACGTAGCTGTTACTGGGGCCTGGGAAGGTAATATGAGCACTTTGCATTGAGCATTAGACATTTTTATCAGGGAACTAAGTCCAGTTCTTAAAGAATTAATTTCTATGATGTTATTTGGATTATATGGATATTAATGTGAAGTTAGACTTTGCTAGCTTTAAGGTGCATCTGTTTGCCTTTCTTTTTGAAGAAGTATTATGTTGTGAGCTTATATTAATATGCTGCTGTGTAAAGGTGATCTAAAGGCCTCTGCTAAGATAGCATCTGATTTGTTTTCTAAAAACTAAAAATATTGCTGCTGAATTGTATCTTCTCTCAGACATAATTGATTATGTCTTAACCCTTTGGTTGGAAATACGTGACCTCAGCCAAGGGCGTTTTTGTGAATGTGTGTCTTTTGGTGGATTAGGAGTGTGAATGTGGCCCATTACGGGGACTAAGTCAATACACAGTAATCATTTATGTTTTGGTAACTGGATAACACACCTGAAACTTGAGACCAAATTGCTTATGTTTATTCTGTTGTTACAAATCATTAGTGTGAAAAAAAAAAAAAGGCAAGAGAGCAACTTGTGTGGTTTTATTTGTTCTGTGTTGCCTCTGCAATGCTGAAAGAGCTTCACATTTTGTGTAGCTCCAAACAACAAAAAAATCCCCAGGCTCCCAGCGGTCTGAATTCCAACTTGTAATGCCTCTCTTTCTCTTGTTGTTTTGTCTTTTTTTTTTTTTTTTTTTTTTTTTTTTTTTTTTTTTTTTTTTGTAGGAATACTTAAAGCTTTCTGAGGATTACAAACTTTCAGGTGTCTTCCTTGCAGGTATTGTTATCATTACCTACAGTTTTCTCTCTTACACTGCCTCTAGTAATAGCAAACTGCAATTACTCCATTCTTGAAGTCTACCCCACTTTGGTAAGAAGTGAATGAGCAGATATAGATGACAGGTTTCAGTTTGAGGTGGTCAATAAAAGTTTCTTGCTGTCTGCCATGGGAACAAGCTGAGTAAACCCCTGCTAGTTGGCATTAGCTAGGGAGAGCCATTTGGCCACCAGCTGACAGCTGAGGTTTCTGAAGGTGCTCTGTCACTTCAGAAACTGATCAGCAGTCTTGTCTGCCATGGGAGCTCAGGTGCCAGGCCCACTGAGAGGTGTCCCCAGGGCTCTCTGCCTGGTGGCACCATGGGGCTGGGCTACAGCTCAGCTCCTGGCTGGCCTGAGCCACACAAGGGACGCAGGTCGCAGATGGGAACGCCCCATCTGCTGCTTTCCCCAGGGTTTCCTGGGAGCACGGCTGGCTCTGCTCACCTTCCTCGTGATGCTGCAGGTCTGGCTCCACAAGAAGGGAGGAAAAATTCCAGGTTTCCAGCTACTTCGGAAGCGACCTTCCTTGTCGCTTGTGACAGACCATGAGTTCTCCAATAATCCAGTGTACTCTTTACCTCCAGGTCTTGAAGAATTCTGGTTACTGGTAAACAGAAAACTTTTTTCCCCCAACAGATTTTGGTAGATAAGGACTAGTGGCACATAAATAAACCCCAGTTATATTATGTGAAAAGGGAAGTATATGGGTGTGATTAGTGATAACTTGATATGGGAAACTCTGAATGCTCTCTGACTAAGTGAAACCAAATCTGTGCTGATGCAAGATAATCCCACTGGAATTGGCCACTTCTGACAGTCAGTTACGGAGCATTGTCAGCTCAAATGCCTCTTCTCTCAGGAGGTATTTTGATACCTCCTTGCTGTTACTGACTGACCTCATGCTACAAGTTCACCCTCTGGTTTTTTTTTTATTTATTTATTTTTCACCTTTCTGCTTTTACATTAAGTCTGAAATTTGAGGTGTGCATGAACACTTGCTGGATTTGTTTTGGGAGTGAGGTGCATAAAACTTTGGGTTTTATTTGAGCAGAGTAAAGTTGCTTGAAAAAAAATATACAAGATAATAGCATTGCTATGTTTGGAGAATAGGACCTATCTTCTTACCTTTATTGACCCTGCCCCTGGGATGGGCTGTTGTTCCTTCCAGCATTGCAAAGGATCCCACTCTGTGTATCTTTTCTTTCCCCCCCCCCTCTTTTTTTTCAAGTGGGGATGTGAAATCACAGTATAACCAGGCAAATATTTAGCAGAAAATGTTGAAGTTAGGATGAATATTTTTCATGGAGTAGATGAATAAAAGCATCCCTAGCATTTTGTACTGCTGGTATGCTGACATGCACTCAGTTGGTTTTTTTTTTGGTAGTTGTTTGCTCAAGCAGAATGTAATGAGGCAGCAGCAGATTTACTTTTTTTCCTTTATTTTAACATGGGAGACAGGCCGTTCCATGGGCTCACGAGCTGCTGCCTCTGTGATACGTCAGCTTAGCCAGGAGGAGGATGACTTCATTCAAGGTCTGGTTTGTTTATCTTACCCCCTGCATCGACCAAAACTTCAGACCAAGCTTCGGGATGAAGATTTATTATTCATCAGGTGTCCGGTGCTGTTCGTCTCGGGATCAGCAGATGAGATGTGTGAAAAAGTGAGTACCCCTGCAAGTCCTGCTGTGAAGGGGAAGTATGGGAGAAGGAGCCTGAGGGGTGCCTGTACTGGTAGACACAACTGTGACTTTAACAGCCTTCTCTAAATATCTCTATACATAGACAGATAGAGCTGTCTTCTGAAGGAAGCCATGGCTGGGCTTCATTTGGTATAAGGATAGATATATATGTGACTTTATTTATATATATATATAACCTGGGGGTGCCTCCTTTTGCTGCTTAAAACTACTGGATCATGCTTGGTCATCCACATGAGCTAGCTCACCTTTGGGCCACACATTGCTGATCTAAATGTTTTGTCTTTTTTGAGGATTGTAGAAATGAAAAGCAGCCTATGGAAGGAGCAAGTTACTTGCTGTTCTGTTTTAACCATTTCAGGTTACAAAACATAAATGCTGTGCTGTTCTACCAGTATCACAGTTACATTTTCCTGACAAATTCTTCTAGCAAAGCAGTTCTACACACAAGTCAGACTTCTGTGGTAGAAAGGGATGGGTGTTGCAGAGATGAAGAACAGGTGTGCCCAGATGACAATACAGTGTTTTTCTGCCTTGTTTTCTTGCAACTTTCTGTTGTTCTTGAACAGTTCAGCTATAATTTGGGGCTGTGCATAATTGGCATTTTCCATGCTTCGACAGTTTCTAAGGAGTTGCAATGCTTTTATGAGGAGTCATCACCAAAGCAAGTGAGCCAGCAGCTCCTTGGGGTGCCCTCTTAATGGAGAGATCATTATGGCTTCCTGAACTGCTTCTTAGCTCTGTTTTGACCTTTGCAGTTCTTGAAGTTCTAATTTTCTGCCATTCTGTGTTTGAGTGAGGGTGAAGCTTTGAGCAGATCCTGTTGCTGGGTACAACAGGATCATCACATCTTTTCTATCGTGGAGTGTTTGATGTGCACACAGATCAGTTGAAGAGCTGGCTGTGACAGGTTGCACAGGCAGAGTGAGAGACATCTGGGGGCAGCACAGCTCCTAGCAGTTCCTTCTGGTCACTTTTTTGTTCTTTTCTCCATAGCAATTACTGGAAGGTGTGGCAAGCAAAATGAAAGTTCCTAAAAAAATCCATTGGATTGACAAAGCAAACCATGGGATGGCAGTCAAAGGACGAACAACCGATGATGTCATGGAAGAAATAAATGCCCAGGTTTTGTCTTGGCTTAGAGAGAATATTGAACTGGAGTGCAAATGATATGCAGGGCTTAAGCAGTATCTTTGTTTTTGCCTTTCCCAAATGTGGCAAATTAGTTTATTTCCGAAATGCCTATATTTTTTAAACAGATATTTGCAGAAGTCTAAGTGTACATGTAAATAAAGCTTTTTGTGTACGAATGGAAAAAAAAATACGTAAATCAATAAAGTTTTTAAAGGAAGAGGACATAAAATATTTAATATGTCATTATTGTTCTCTGGGTTTCTATACAAATACCTGTGTATAGCACAGTGCTCTGCATTACCAAGTAAATGCTTTCTGACTAATGTTTGAAGATACTGGAAAAAATCTATTCTGACAGCAAATCTTTAGGTGTCTTTCATTACTGAGTATATTACTGCTTCTGTACCTGCTATCTGTTTGAGCACATCCCTCAAGGCTGGCCAGGATGGCTTGTGCTGCTCTGCTGTGGTGCTGTACCCTGGCACTCCAGTGTGCTTCCAAACCTGTGACCAGGGAGAGGAATCTCCACCCCAAGGAGTCAAAAACTCAGCCTGTGTGGGGAGGAGGAGGTACTACAGGCAAAGAACATCAGTCACAGTTTTGAAAAGTCACGCTCCAGCAGCTTCCCTCACATATGGGACTAGTCCCAGAGGCCCTTGGGAGAGGTAGGCATGGAAAATTAAATGAAAACTCAGAGAAGACAAATTACAAATTACACTAGTGGAAGAACTGGAGGAGGAAGCAGGTATGATGTGTTGCACAAAGCTTCTTCCAGGAGGGCTCTGAAGAGACAAGTGGGGGTTTGAGCCTTGTTACCCACTAGCAGGAGGAACTGATCTAGTGCTACTTCTTTTCATATTGCCCAAGAGACAGAGTTTCACAGGCAAAAGCCGCTGTAAAAAGTCATGTGGAATGTAGAACTTGTTATCTAATATTCCCGAAGTGTCCAATAGCACTGTGTTTTTCCTTCAGGTTAAAAAGATACATTATAAAAACCCCACATCACTGTCTTTGAAAATACTGATGCTCTCAGAAGGAACAAAGGTACAGCCTGAAAAAGACGACTGGATAGATACAGGGGGTGGGGGAGAGAGACTGACAGTTCTGATCTTCCCTTTTTTGCAGAACGTACTTGTGCACACACTCTGTGTAACACTGTACCTGCATTTCCAGGGTATCTAAGAACAGCAGCACATGACTCATACAAACATGGGTTTTATTTTTAAAACAAATGATTAAAAAGTTTTGGAACAAGGCTCTTCAACCACTGCATGATAAAAAGGAACTAGAGGGTGCTTGGTTTTCTTCCATACGTAGATCATGATACGGTAAACTTCATAATATCCAATGACATTATCCATTGGCATTTTAATCCCATTTTTTCTTCTTTCATTAAGATGACAGTCTGAATGTAGGTAAATGTTAAATTATTTTATTTGTGTCAGAGTTCATCTTTGGCCTGCAGTCAATAAAGAAGAAATGTTTTCAGTTAATTGGAAACTCAACTTTTAACCGTCTAGTCCTCCAGATAAAATAAAAGATGTTTCTAAATTCAGCAGGTGTTAATGGTCTGGTCTGGTCCCTGACACTGCAGGGGACTGCACAGTGCCTGTTCCCATCTGGCTGGGTGAGAACTGAAGACATCAAGCATTTTCACCTTCATTGCTATACATACTTTACCTTTTTTCTGTGGCAAGTACAGGGAAAAAGGTCATCGTCAGGCTGCTGCACCTTCTCCATCCCCTCTCTGACTTTTGGCTCACTCACTTGCAAGCGGGCGTACTCCTGGTTTTAAAAAACAGAAGCATCATTAATTAATAAACCTGTTAGCTTGCACAAGTGGCTGTATATAGCACAGCAGCTCAGGTGAGCAGTTGTGTGAAAACTCCAGGGCTACCTGGTCTGTGACCCCACATGGTGTGGCAGGCAGGGGGTCCCCGCGGGGGTGTGGCTATCTCAGTGCTAATGCACAGACATTTTCAGCTGTGGTTCACAGGGGATGCGTCTGATGTGGAACCCTTTGATCACTGTGGGCAACATATTCTTGCAGATTAGCTCAAGATTTAGGGGATTTGATTGGTTCTCTCAAAGCACCAGCGTGGTCTTGAGGGGTTTCACAGGAAATAACAGCGTACAGTGTTTGGAAACCAACTCAAGTTCTTTCTTTGCTTTGTGGCTTCGAGTGCTGGACTGGGCAAAATCCACCTTCTCCCTTGCCCCAAATTCTTTCAGTGGGATTTCTATTTTTGTGGTAGGTGCCATTAAAAATATACTAACCTGGAAAAGCTTGAAATAGTAACAAAAAATGTGGTCTCCCATGAGATTGTTTCTTGCAAACTCTTGTCCCGATTTTGCAATAATTTTTGCCTGTCAAAGAAAATAAAAGTAGGTTTGTTTTTTTTTTTTTAATTTCTCAAAAAAATAGTGGTTATTTCAGGATGCCAGTATTGATTCTGAGTTAAGTATAATGTTGAGAGCTTAAGATAACTTATTCATTTTTTTATTTAAGCATTCTTAATTTTAAAAGTAAGGGATTTTAATGAAAATACTCTTCATTTTTCCAAAGTTCAATTTCTTTTCAAATCAAGGTCAGTATTATGTATTTTTTTAAAAGTGTTTTTCTTTGTAGAGTTGATGACAATAATTTCTAAGACCTTCTAATAGATTTTTGTTTTTAAGAAATGCATTTTTTGCTCTCTTTTGTCTAGAAACACTGACGAGTACTTTGAAATGTGTATTTACCTCTTCATCATGCTCTTTTGCCCACTGTAGTTTTTCTAGCAGATCACTCAGGTCACTTTTAAATGGAATATAATGTTTCCATGGCTGCAGCTCGTTATAAAAATGCTCGTAGTAGATAGAGTCTTGCTTTAGCACCACACTGTTTCCTGCTAGTAGATAAGGCAATCTGTATGCTGCCACTGTGCCATCAATATTAATCTGGTATTTATACTGGAAAGAAAATGACCATGAGTCACTAACAAAGAGAAGACACAAGTAGCTTGGTTAGGTTGTGTTATTCTGAGGGCACTGGTATTACTGACTTGCCAATACTGGGAAATGTAGGATTGTGTAGGCAAGCATCAGTGTTTTAAGTAGCTTTTATTATTTAGTTTGGAATTCATCACAGAGACGCCCTCTTCAGCAATTAAGTTCTCCGGAAATTCTGAGACGCTCATCCTCAGATGTGAGGGTAGATGTGCCACTTCATCCACTGATTTCCCACTATGTTAGTTAGGTTAGTAGTCCTGATCACTAAATCAGGAAAAAGAAATAAAAAGGAACTTGGAGTTACACAGATTACACAACGTTCTACAGAACCTGTAGATGTAAATCAGACATTATTATCCTCAGTGTAAGAGCTACATAGCAGTTAGTCCCACCAGAGGGATGCCTGTTCATGCTTGTTACTGGTGTTGTGCTGAAAAACTAAAAATCACTTTATTATCAACACTATGTACAAAGTTATTTGATAACGGGAAACACTGAGAACCTATTTCTACGAAAAAGGGTTAGTGACTTACCTTAAAAAAATCAAAAAATGAGATGTGCTTAACAATGGGGCCATAGAGGCTTTCATCGTGTTTAAAAAAAAAAAAGTTTGTGAAAGCAGCATCTATGATCTCTGGGAATTTCTTGCTGAGCTTCTCTTTGCGGCTGTCACGACCTCTCCAGAAGGCTGTGGTATTCTTCTCTTCCCAGGGCGGGCCAGTATTTGCTTGAACTGACATCATATCCAGACTGACTCTGGAGGAGAAAGCAGGGATCTAACAGTGAAGCCTACTGGAAGTCTTTCCAAGCACAATCGCTTCCGGGAGCCTACAGCACCACTAGGCAAATACCAAGGATGAAGGTGGGTCATGAGCACACCCCTGTACGCAGCCATAGAGCAGATAAGGAACGCCAAGTTCACAGCCCTGTGGCAAGACAGCGTCTGCTCAGTGACAGCATGGAGCTGTGGCTGCCAGACAGAGGAAGGTGATGCAGCATAATGGAAGTAGCCTAAAACAATATCTTTCACTTCCTTGAAAACGCTGCTAAATTAAAACACATAAACTGGAGGGGGGGGCGAGGAGGGGAAAAAATTAAGAATTTTTTATAATAAAGTCATGAAACCTGAACTAAATGCAGTGAAATGATGGATAGGTTCAGAACAGATGACAAAGATCTCTTAGAAGCTGGCTTTGTGGCATTTCAGGACAGCAGCAGAGCAGTTACCAAAGCTAATTATGATCAGTAATCAAGCTGGGAGATAGTAGGTCCTCAGCTGAGAATTATGGTTACGTTTGGCTTTAAAAGGTACATAAAAAAAAAGTCTAGGAAAATCAGGAAAAAAGAGACCTGGCCAGTTGTCAACACATTCATGGGAGTGAAACAAAGCTAACAAACAAATACCTACCATTGAAACATTATCTCTAAGTGCTGTTTTCAGGGACTTGACCGTGTTTAGATTAATTTTGATGTTTTAAATAAAGCAGTGAAGTACTTTAATATGTCATTTATGTTATATAACACATAACTCGGTTCAAGTTAAGATACTGGTTACACAGTTGCTGCCTACCTACAGGCTCCCAATGCCTCAATGAATAAATAAAAAGTTAATATACTGTGAATACATCTTTTTGGAAGATCATTCACTGTGAATTTTGTGAAAATTTCATGCAATTTCTTACCGTCCCATAGTCTCCAAAACTGAGTCTGTTAAGTCATACGTTGGCATCACAATGTCTTTTGACTCACTGGACCCACACCATGAGAAGATGGGGTGCAGGTTCTCTGGGGACTTCCTTTTCTCCAGAGGCCAGTCCCCCAAATTAACAAAAAATTCTACATCTGGCATTTTCACCTAAACAGAAACAAAGTAAGCACAAATGCATTTTAATTAAAAGCAGTATTCTTCTGCTGGTATCTTGCATTCTGAAAACAACCCCATTAGGAGAAAAAAAAATAGCCCTGTCTCTAGTGTACCTGTAAAGTTTAAAGTTCAGAAACATTAGAAGTCCTGAGACCACAGAGTAAAGCCTGCAAGATTATTTTTTTTTTTAAGATTTGCACAAAGTCACATAAATGCTCTCTCTCTTTTTTTTAAGGGAGAAACAGCTCAGTTTAGAGGATGGTTTCTGGCATTATTTACATGACAATCTTTACAGGATTAGCCACAGAATATCTGTGGCAGGCTAGTGCTGGGATCTAGTAAGCCATTGTAGAGTTCCCAGGTCAGTGGAACCACCTTGTTGACTGTATGGAAAACTGCTGTTGGGTGGTAAATTAAACTTCTGTCCCATCAGTGGACTGATTTCCCTGTGTCTGCATGATGACTAAATCGACCAGAAGGGGAGTACCAGAAATGAACAGCCATGATGGGACAGTCAGTGCTGGGGTTAATTAAGCATAACATCCTCACTTGTTTTAAATAGTTGGTAGTATGGAACCATATCTGAAATCATCATTGTAGCCCAAAAGTCAGCAAAATACTGTTGATGGCCAGGAAATATAACAACAGGACAGGTGGCATAATTTTGCTGCTGTATGAAACTGTGATGGGCCCCCATCTTGTGCATTGTGTGTGGTTCTGGTGTTTCCAAACAGTAAGAGAAGGTAAAAAAAAAAGGCAGCTACTGTGACAGAGAGATCTGCTTTAGGAGGAGCAACTGAAAATGGTGGGACACTTCAATCTGGAGAGCAGAAGGCAACTATAGTTGAGTTTTACAGACCCCTAAGGTGCCTGTAATGCCAATGGAGAACTGATGCTATATCTGTTCTTGGTTCACCCTCTTCATGACACTAATTTTAAAAAATATAAATCTCCACCCTCCTCAGCTGCCTCTTTTGAAGCAAAAGAATCCTCATCAAATTAGCTTCTTTGCATGCACCCAAACATCCTTCTTGCTGTGTAGCTCTTTTTGAGAAAGTGAAATGAGAACTGCACTGTTTTCAGAAGATAAGCATATCACAGTATAAAACCTGTGACATCACCTTTTCTTCTTTTGTTTGTGCCTCCCTCCTCAGTAAGTCTTAATGGGCTATTTGACTGTTATGAACATCTGATTATTATTCTGGCACTTTTGGAAAACTGCTGGAGTAACTCCAAGATCTCTGCCCTAACTACTAACAGATAATTTGGAGATCGTGATTGTATGTGTGTGATCAGGACATTTCGTTCAAGTGTCATCATCAGCTATCTTAATATCAATGTGAAAAAAATCTTATCTGAAGAAAGAAAAATTATTAATGTTAATAATTTTCAATTAAAATATTCATACATGCATAAAAAATAGAGCTTAGACATACTGCTGACTCATTGTACATATGCATCCAAGCATTTCTGCTCTCAACCCCCTTTATTCTTCAGATCAGAAAGGCTGGTCACAGGCTAGCATTTCAGGATTCTTCTGGGGCCCAAACGGGCTTCATTAAGTTTCTAATTATGGACAGAGATAGAAATTAATAATTTGCCATCTATCAAACACCCTAAATGGTCGAAGACGTTGTCCTCTAACTTGATGACACAGGACAAACCTCTGGCAGAGGCATCCAGAAGTTCTAAAGAAGGAGACCCGAAGCAGTACTGCTCGTCTTCAGTGTATAGACTGATAGAAAAGGTTTTATTTGTGCACCTGCATTTCAGAGGGGGTTTGGCTACATGTTCTTCGGGACTAAACTTTATTAGTACAGTGCCATCTAATGGTTATAACAAACTTAGAAAAGCTACAAATTGTATTTTATCCACATCCCCAATGGCAGAATCATTCAACAGGTTAAATCTTCTTCTCCAACCCAACAGATCTATTGCCTATCAGTGACACCGTCTTAATAGAACTTCCTGAAGCATTTAATGGGGATGAGACAAACTGGTATTTCCAGATCTGTAAACAGTTTGTCTTTGGTGTTAGCAAGCATCTTCCAACATTTAACCTAAATACCTCCGATGCAATTTAATTTCATTATTTCTTGTCCAATGCTACTGACACCAAGAAAAGCTTACTTCCATGTTCCATAGAGCAACCCTCTAGGTAATTAAAGCCACAGTCATGTCTTCCCTCAGGCACTCTTAGATGAAAGCATCACCACTTAACTGAATCTTCCTTTGTAAGTCTGCTCATTCCTGCCGCTTCCCTGTGCGGTGTCACTGCAGCAGCTGAGCAGTGTTTCTTGGGGCAGCATGCCCCAAGGCAGTTAGGGCAGCATAACTGAGCTGTTACTACTCTTGAGTAAGGTGAAAAGGTTACTTTGTATTTCTTTTATGTGTTGCTTCTGTTCATGTGTTCATGTATCCAGCCTTTGTGTCATATCCTGCCCTTGCCACTTTATTTTATCCATTTTTCCTCTTACTTGTTAAGAAACTTTTTTATTCTGATGCTGTACAGTGAGGTGCTTGTGGGTTCCTTCATTTTTGTTATCTGAAAATTCAATAAGCATATTCTCTAGTCCATCATTCAGTCAATATACAACTAAGTTATTAAATAGGGACTGAAGTGAGGACAAACTCTGCAGAATACATTTGTGACACCTTTTGACTCTCTGGAAACCTGGCAACTGCTGTTTAAGTAAGGCTTCCCAAGCAGGTTACAGCAGCTTCTTCTAGGCAAAGTCTTCCTCTCTTGTTTATGAGAAACTTGTGAAACTTACCCTTAGAAACTTAATTAACATACTTGACATCCCTGCAGGAAACTATTATCTTGTTATACAAAGACATTATCTAGTTATGAGTTATTTTTTATGATAAATCCATATTGTTTCATACTAATTACCTTATCTTTCAGCTGCTTATAAATAATGTGTTTATTTTTTATTAGATCGTTAGGGAAGTTTTTAGGAGAATAACTCCATACTTCAGTAGCTCCTATCTCTTCTTTCTCTCCTTTTCAAAAGACAAATTGCTGTCTTTTTAGAGTAAAAAATAGATACTAATGCAACTATCTTTGTATTTCTCTTATTACTCTCTTTATGTAATAATCACTTATTTGTGTGTGCTGAAACTTCAGCCCTGCTTTACTCTGTCACTGTGTACATAATGTCATTTTTTTCCCCCCCCAAGTTTCCCTAGAATGTGTCTGCATGGTGCTTTTTGCTTGGACATCAAGGGATTTTCCCCATGTGCCACCTGCTGGACTATTGATGCCCTTTCTCAGCCCTTCCTGTCTCGTTTTCAACATACAGTATTTAATGGAGAATTAGATACATGCCGTATTTTTTCTTTTTTTTTAGTCATCCTGTAAAATGTACTAGCAGAAACAGAATTTTATATTAGATGCTACAGGCTGATATATTCAGTCTACAGAAAAACACCTCACGCTCTGTCCAAATCTATCAAACTTTCCTATAAAAGCCTGCTATTCAGTTAACATTTGTGATACTCCATACTCTGATCAGATAGCATAACATGCCAAATTCAGACAAAGAAAATCCATCTGCCCTTTCCATTATTAATAAATAAAAAAAAATGAGAAGGGCTTTTTAACAGAAATAGCAACAAAAAAATTGAAGTATATTTCTTAAGCCCAGGCTTCTATAAATTAGGACAAACAGAATAAATGACTGTACAGATGTACTCACTTTTCTGGTCAATGAAAGCAGTATGGCATCCATGAAAATTCTGAAGCCAACATGTTCCCCATATGTTTTTATATGAACCTGAAAATAAACAAAAGCTTTGTGGGTCTGGTGTTTTCATTTCAGAAGATGGTTGGTGCAATTTAGAGCTCTTTTGGTCACTTAGTCATGAGTCAGACAGATTACGTGGCTGTATATATTTATGAATCAACTGGGAAGCTTTAGAAATCTCATCTCTTTAACTTCATCACAGAAAAGTGACCAAAAATAAGGACAAACTTTCCTTGCTCTGGCAGACGTTTTAGATCTGTCTTACAGGAACAGAAACTAGTTGCCCATTTCTGTTGTGTTCAGTTGTTCTCATCTCCATATGACACTCTGTAAGCCAGCACAGTTTTGTTAAAAAGAATTGTAGCTCTGATCTTCAGTGGAGCTAAAAAGTAGTATTTCTTTACTCCAGAATGATGCACAATGTAATTTAATGATGCATGTTAAATGAGATGATCAGGACACTCTGCAGCAGTATTACTGAGAACAGAAAACTGAATTAGCATTTAGGAGACTTGGGTCTATGCCCAGGACCCATATTGATTGCTTGGCAAGTGATTTTTCTTCACTGTGCTTCAGTTTTTTTCAGTTCTAATGTGGACAAAAAGCACCTCACAAGGTAGGACAGATATTGTTAAGCTTATACACAAACTGCAAAGTATTCGAGGACAGAGAAGCAAGCAAAGGAAGTTTCTTAAAGAACAGACCACAAGTGTTTCAACTGGGAACAGCCAAACAGGCTAGCTGTGTGACTTGCCACCAAATTCCCATATGGACTTCAGCTCAATCCATTCCATACCGTGTTATCTTTGATGGTGTAATGACACAGACTCTGTCGTTGTCCAAACCTCTGTGGGATTTCTGTTGCAATCTTATCTGGATCAACAACGGGGAAATTTGCTAGGTCTCTCTGAATCTGTGGAATGATTTGAGGGCAGTTCATCTCTTCCAGCCATGCACTGCTTTCCTCCTGAGGGCAGTCACAGTTTTCATGGTAAACAGGTCCTGTCAAGAACAAAATTATTATTTTATTAAAAATGTCACACTGGAGTTGCTGAGGTCACGATAGAGGGCCACACACTAAGCATTTGTTACCTGGGGCCAAATCTTCAACTCTAAATGGACATTTGAACTTTTTTGACTCCAATGGAAACATGCCAACTATATCAGCCTGTGTGAGCCCTCTTCTCTATGCATATATGCCAGGAAACAGCTTCACAGCATTTGCTTCTTCTTCTTATTTTGAACAGGACATGCAAGACACTTGCAATGAATTCATAATTCCAATGGAATTGATAGTCTGGAGAAGTACTGAGGTCCTGCAGAATCCTATGGTAATCCTAGGAGACATTCTGGGACACAGTTTTGGGGGAAAAAGCCATGATAGGAAACCTGTATGTAGTGCTGCTTCTTACCTTCTAAAATATATGGAGACTTTGCAACATGTTTGTCTCCAGTTTTGACTTCTATCTTCAGGTTTTTGTAGCTTGCATACATCCTGTATCTCACAAGGAAGGACCCATCTTTCCTGTCTAGTACTTGCACCCCAACACGAGTGAACTGTTCATCAGGAGCAGTGATCTTCACCTGGAATGCATTTTCACCTGGTGATGAAGTGAACCTATGCAGAGAGTAAGTGGGAGCTTACTACAAAAGCAAACACACAACAGCTTCCTTACCCTGACCCATTCCTTTTGCAAGCTGACAGATTCCCAGGGACTTCACTGAGCCACGCCAGGTCTTTATAAACACATCCTAGTGTTCACAAGCAAGGTACAATTTTTCCAAATGGTATTTTGTTAGGCTACCTTAAACATTTCATGCTGTTAGAAGCATTAGGTACCAAGAAGGTTCCACTCAGACACACATAAACACACCTCCAAAATCACTCGGTGCCCCACATGTTGAACAGTGTTGGCAATACAGCCTTTGATTATATGGGAACTGACACCTTTAAAAATCCAGCATAGCACTTACTTGTAGTAGTTCAAGTGTAAAATGATGGGAAGATACAGAGCATGCAGATAAATGGATTTTGGTAGATAGATCTTGGTGTCCTGTCCTAGAGGGACAGAACAAGGTGCAAGGGTTTTGAACTAAAAGAGGGTAGATTTAGATTGGACAGGAGGACATTCTTTACAATGGGGGTGGTGAGACACTGGAACAGGTTGTCCAGAGAAAAGTTTCTGGTGCCCCCTCCCCGGAAGCATTCAAGGCCAGGCTGGATGAGGTTTTTAACAATCTGGTCTAGTGGAAGGTGTCCCCACCCACAGCAGGGGGGCTGGAACTAGACCATCTTTAGAGGTCTCTTCCAACCTAAACTGTCATATGATTCTGTGGAAAAATATACACAAACGAGCTTCCCTTTAGAAGCTTAATAAGTCTGTTATTTTACATACAGAAAAAAAAAAAAAAAAGTTTCCAGATTACTTTATTTCCAGGTATTAGTTAAGGAAGTAAAGAACAAAGTTAAACCACTTAATTGTTATGGTAGCTCATATGGGGTGGTGGAAAAGGGTATAAAAATGCCATTGTCTTGGTATGGAAAAAAAGACTATAGTGGGATCATGTAATGCAAGGTCTGCTTACGACATTTTGGTAAAATTCGCCATACAACAATCCTAGAAAAATCTCCATAAAGCCAATTAAAATAATTTGAAAAATCATGAAGTTATCACAGATCATTGTGGTATTAACAAAGCTGGCACAGTCAAAATGCTGCATCTGCCAACTTTGTGTCATCACTTTAAACGCAGTCCTGAATACGCAGGGAGAACTTGGGATAGGGAGGTGGTGGGAGTGGCTGGACTAAATGGATTACAGCCCAGCAGCCTGGTCACCTTCCCTGAAACTTCCCTGATACTACAGAGCTGCCAGTTCAACAAACTGCAGAAACTATTCCCTCTCTAGAATAAGGTGAATTGGCAGCTTGCAGACTTGGCCATGCCACAGTGCATCTAACATGGACAACCTGGATGGAGCACTCTGAGTTCCTATCTACCTTGTACGGTCTCTCTGTAGAAATGGAAACCCATGAGTGTCCTCTGAAAACTAAGTTTACCCATTTCATTCCTACCAAGTTTACCTAATGGCCTATAAAGTAATTCCTAACTGACTCTATTGAGCTTGTGCCTACACATTTAGTAGAAATACTGGTGTTCCTAATAGTGGAAACAAGTAGGAAATCTGACCCTGTATATCACAAATTAAATATATTTGCTATTGTTTAGCTTTTAACAAAGCAGAATAAACAATAAACTGATGGTTGGACCAATAAGCATGTTTTGCTGTTGAATGTTTTCATCATACTTTCTCATCTCATCCTCTTGTGCAGTTATTTGATACACCTAAAAAGATTAATTAGCTTCTTCTAAGTGATTTACAGAAAAAGGCACATAGGGAGCCTTTGGCCTTACCCTTCTACAAGAAAATCCCAAGTAAGTTTCTGCTTAAAAGG